CAGGAAAACGGTCTCTAAGATTCCTCGTCCCCCTTGATGGGCCAGATAAGGCCTCTTGTTTTGAAGCTCCCATCGTCGAGCTACTGGCTGCCTTATCTTGGCCCAGAGTCTCCAGATCGAACTCATCAATCCTATTCCTCGGTAGCTGGGCTTGTCTTTGGAACCCTCCTGCTGCCTGTGCTTTGGGATGAGCATGGTGACGGTCGCGCGCGCCTGAGAGGGCAGGGGGCCGACCGCCTCGAAAGCGTGCGTGAAGCGGGCCACGAGCTCGAGCTCGGAGTCACCTAAGAGCGCAAAGTGCCTGGGATGAAAGCCGTCGTAGGTGGAGGCCGTCTTATGGCTGAAACGCTTTGCTGCTGCTCTTATCATGTCAACAGTGATGGGCTTCAGCTCGGCTAGGGCTTCGGGGCTAGTTCTGCGATGTTTATGTTTCTGCCCTTTTGGGGTCGTCTCCCATATGTCCGGGAGGCGTCCGGCTTCAGTTTTAAGTAAGTCATGCGGCCTACCTGACCACCTTCCGATCGAGGCTTTCCAGACTTGCTGAGGCTTCCAACTACTAAAATATTTGGTCCATCTGTGGCCCCATCCCACTCCGTGCTGCATACTTGTCTTTGCCCAGTCGGCCCAGTTTTCTCGTCGGTCGATCGGTCTCGGTGAATTTCTCGTTCTAAGGCTTCATCGATGTCGACGAAGAGCTTATCGAACAGTTCCTTCGCTATTGCGGTATTTAGAGCGTCGCTGCGAATGTCGACTAGGGCAGTTTGTAGGGCTGCCTGAACTGTTTGAAGCAGGGCTCCTAACTCGTCAACTTCACCAGATAGAGCTGGGGCCGAATCAAGGTCCTCCAAGACAACTTGAACATCATATTCTAGATCGCATGCTTGGTCTAAAGCACGCCGTGCGTCAGTAATCTTGTTCTTCAGCCAGCGAGGTGGGCCTGCAAGGGATCGCCAGCTGCGACGGTGAGCGCGTTCCGCTGCACATGCGGGAACCCATCGGAGCTGGGGTCCTTGACCCCGAAGGCGCTGGCTGCGGAGAGGCGTATCAGTGACCTTGCTTAGAAAACTCGTTAAGTCACTGGCCAGGATCTCGTAGGTCTGGTCCATGGCCCCGTCCAGGGCCCCGTAGTCTAACTCCTGCCCCGAGAAGGCTTCCATTTGGTCCAGGGCCGCTTCGGTACGGGTCCAGGGAGTAGTTTGCGCAATGGGTCCCACAGGCAACTTCGTTGGGGTCTTCTGAGGCTTCACCAGGACTGGCCCCAGGAAGGGCTCATCTATGGCGAGGTCGAAGTACACGGGCCTGTGGGGGCCCAGGGGGTACTCCTTTAGGACCTTGGGCTTACTCACGTAGTCCTGGAAACAATCGGAGACGAGGAAGAAATCTATCAGGCTCTTGGTATTTCTTTGTGTAGAGCGTGGGGATGTCTGAAGAGAGGGCCTGCGCTCCTGCTCTCGGGCAGATGTTACTTTTGGCGAGCTTGGCAGGCGAGAGGTTAAAGTCAGCCGCTATTATCAGGCCCATGCGATGCACCTGGCCGAGCTGCGCGAGGCTGGCGAGGAGGCTGAGGTTAAACTCGTTCAGCCCGACCTTGTGGGCAAGGTAGGCTGAGGCTAGAATAAATGGAGCGTGTCCTGGCACCTCCAGAGCTACGGCGGTAACTCTTCCTTTTGGCGTATTAGCAGGATGGTCGACTCTTGTGACCCCGAAGTCGTACCCGTCCCTCACGAGGATGGCTGTGCCCTGCGTAACTGCCCCACAGTCGCTTAGAACCCCAGCCGTAAAACTAGGATTCCATCCACGCTTGCTACACCACTGAGTAGCATACAAAACTTGAATTTCAAGAAGCCTGGCCTCCTGAACACACAACGTGGATGGACTTGGCGTCATCGGACTCGACGAAAGTCTTGACGCTTCCCCAACAGCTTCCATTGCAACTCATGATGCGGAGGTTACCCCCCAGACGTGCGGGTGGCCCCCGAGCCCTCGATCCTGGAGCGGAGCCTCCCCTGGGCGTCTTCAGCGGATGGTCCCATGGCCCCAGGAGTCCCGATCTGCGAGACCGCCGAGAGGGCCTGGACAGCCCGTTTGGAGGGCCCTTTTTCCTTCTCCTCCTTCGCGTCGGAGAGCTCCATGTCGCCGGCGGCGGAGCCCGCAGGAAGGCCCTCTCCACCAGGGGCTGCGACGGCTGCTGCACCTTCAGGGACTGGGGGGTGACCATCAGCTGGTTCAGCTTTTGGTGCTTGTGGCGCTTGTTCTTCCCGTGGTTGCTCATCAGCTGCTGGCTGTGCCGTCGCCTGGACCATCCGATTGTATTCAGCGTCGAGTTCCGTGGCCATGGCGTTGACCTTGTGCTTGAAGTCTGGGCTGATCTCCGCGCCAGGCGGAAGCTTCGCCATGATGTAATCCTCGAGCGTGTCTGATGATGCCCCATGTGCTGCACCATCTTCTCCTCCGCGCCAGGCGGAAGCTTCGCCATGATGTAATCCTCGAGCGTGTCTGATGATGCCCCATGTGCTGCACCATCTTCTCCTCCAGCCTGTTGGGCCGCTGCCTTCGCTGCGACCCTGAGCTGGCTCTCGAGCTGCTGGCATTCCTTGTAGATGTCGTTGCGCTCATTCGCGGCCGTCTGGTACTTCTCGGTGAGCTTCTCGATCTCCTCGAGGTACCAGGCCACGTCCTTCTGCTTGCCCTCCAGGCGCTTGCGCTGCGCTGAGAGCTGATCCGACAAGCTCTGCGCCTGCTGGTCGGGCGACTTGTTTGCCAAGGCGGCGGCCTTGACTGCTTTGAGTTCTTCGGTTGCTTGGAGGTAGTGTTGTCCTCCAACTCCTTCGATCTTGCGCCAGAAATTGACGGCGGCCGCACAAACCTGGATGGGGTCGGTTGTATCACACTCTGGCTGTTGAACTGCTGCATCTTCGTCAAACTGGACTTGGCGAGCCCACCGATTACCTCTCGAGCTGGAGCGGGGCGGCTTGGGGGGCTGGGCGGTCTGCTTACTCGTACTGTTGGCCGACTCCGAGAAAGGCTTCCCGCATTTACCACAATGACGGTGCCCCAAATCCGTCCAGGACCATCCCCCACATGATGGCGTTCACCAGACCATGTAGCACCTCGGAGTCTTGGGCGCGCCTCTCGGGCGCGATGGGCGACGCGCAGGGTCACCTGCTGGCGCCATGGCTGCGCCGCACACGGCAGAACGGCGGCCAGCAGCAGGAGCTGGGCGCCTCGGCGATGGCGGCGGCGGCCGAGGAGGCAGAGGGGGCGCTTCTTCGGGGCGCCTGTGCTGGCCGAGGCAGCCAGGCCTTGGGAAGGGGCTGCCCTTCCACCTCGGCCTCCGGAGTCGGGACGGGAGGTAAGCTCCGTCTTGAGCCAAAATGGCTACGGAGGAGGAGGAGGAGGAAGAGGAGGAGGAAGAGGAGGAGGAGGAGGAGGCAGAGGAGGAGAAGGAGGAGGAGGATGGAGGAGGCGGGGGAGGAGGAGGAGAGGAGGAGGGGAGGAGTGTGAGGACGAAGAAGAAGAAAAGGAGGAGGAGGAGGAGGAGGAGGAGGACGACGACTACTACTACTACTACTACTACTGCTACTACTACTACTACTACTACTACTACTACTACTACTACTACTACTACTACTACTACTACTACTACTACTACAGCTACTACTAGTAGTACTACTACCACTACTACTACTACTAATAATAATACTAAAGTTACTAATAATACTAATCATAAAAATATTACTAGTAAAAAGAATAAACATACTAATACAAATAATAATAATACTACTACTAATAGTAATAATAAGAATGCTAATAATAACATGAAGAAGACGGATAATAATAATACTAAGGATGATAATAATAATAAAGAATAAGGAAAATCATAACACTAATAATAATACTAAGCATACTAAGAATTATAATAATAAGAAGAATAAGAATAATAATAATAATACATAATAATCATAATAATGTTTCTATTAATAATAATGATATTAATAATAACAATATTAATAACAACAACAGTAATAATAAGAATATTACTAATAATACTACTAATAATAATATTAATAAGACTAATACTATTAATAAGAAGAAGCATACTACTACTAATAATAAGAAACGTAATAATAATAATGATGATAGTAATAAGAATAACAATAATAATAATTATAATAATAATACTAATAATAATAAGAAGAATAATAAGAATATAAAGGAGGTAGGAGGAGGAGGAGGAGGAAGAGGAGAGGAGGAGGAGAGGAGAGGAGGAGGAAGGAGGAGAGGAGGAGGAGGATTAGGAGGATTGGAGAAGAGAAGGAGGACGAGGATGCAGAAGACCCAGGGGGCGTTCTGTGCCCATTGGGGGGGCATGCCAGCGCTCGCTCCGACCCTCGGCCATCTGGCCTGCGTGCTTTTCCGTGCCGTGCCGCGAGCGCAGACTCCGCCGGCCCCCGCGCCTGCAGGAGAAGGCGGCGGGCCGGCCCTCTCCCGCCTCCTCGCGGGGCTAAGAGACGGGGGTCAATTCAAGCAGTGACGAAGCGTCCTAGCTCGCCTATAGGCCTATCAAACAATGTTCTAAGAACCTTTTGTGGTTCCCACGAAATGTTCTTAGAAGATTTCTGGCTGAGACTGTCCTGTTTTAACTCATCGGGTTTATGTTCCAAGAACATTGTTTTCGTTCTGAGAGCATTTATGGGTTCTAAGAACACTTCGTGGTAGGACCATAGGCATGCCAGGACGGTCGGTCCCTGCTCAATCAATGCAAACGGGGGTCAGCCAGAACGCCCGACCTTGCAGGATCCTGCAGAGCCAGGGTCGCATCGGCCTGGGTTTGGCTGCAGGATCCGGCAGGATCGTGCAGGATCCTTCGCGTGGACCCGGGTTTGGGTGCAAGATCTTGCAGGATTCCGCGAGGCCTGACTGACCGGGGTCTGGGTTGACCCGGGTCAGAAGATCCCCTGCCTCTGCGCGGTGCTCTTCGCCACGGGCCGAAAGGGGCGATGGTCGGAGGCGACGATCGGGTCAAGTCGGGCATGTCCCTCTACACTCTACAGGTGGAAAATTCAAAAATATTAAGGAAATAGTCAGGGGACGATGTTTCTTGTACTTTTGACAATTTTTTTGGGGGGGCTATTTTTTAAACTATTTGTTTTGGGTGGCTATTTTTTGGGGGGGAGCTATTTCTAATGTTCTTTTCAAAATATGCCTGCAGGAGGCCATGCCCGACCTGACGATGGGGGCGAGCTGCCCATGGGGCGGGCATTCTGCGCGCGTTCGCCCGCGAGAGCCTTGCCGGAGGCATGGACCATCGGCGCCCCTGGACACGCGTATGGCTCTCCCTTGGGTTCTTCGCTCAGGACCGCGCCGCATCGCCGATGCATCGCCGATGCAGCGGCGATTCGGCTCGACGTGGGGCCCGATGTGCTTCACGCCGACGTCGCCGACGTGTAGGCGACGTCGCCAGTGCCTGGCCGATGCATGGCCGATGTATCGCCGATGTACCGGCGATGCGGCGACACCACCTCCTCGCACCCCATCTAGAAGTTCTAGTATGGTTCTCCCTTGGGTTCTTCGCCTCCCTCGTCACTCAGAAGCCAAGCGAAGACTGGCAAACCCGCAGCCGCTAAAACGGAGCTCCGGTAAGTTTTTTTTTCTTCTTCGGGATGCAGCCCGTTTACTATTTTTAGTGCGTTGCGTTCGGGGAATTTGGCTTCTCCTTCTGGGAACACCGTTTTAGCAGCCGCGGATTTGCCGGCCCTCGCCCAGCTGCCGTTCGTCGCCACCCCGAGTTGGGAGAGCAGCGCCACGAGGCTCCACCACCCGGACACGCGACACGCGAGGTCCTGCTGTTTTTCAGGGCGGCGTCCCGGGAAGCCCCGACATTCCCCCCCAGGGACCGGCTCTTCGCCTCGAGCCGTTTCCTGACGGCCCCGGGGCCCGGCGAGGGCCCCCAGGGGCCAGCAGTAGTGAGAAAGTCGCCGCCCCGATTTTTTTGTCTGGGCATGTCTGGGCACGGCTCCTGGCCTCCCGGGGCCCCCACTGCGTGCGAGGCCCCTTCGCCGTGGCCGTCGAAGACGAGGGGCGCTCGGGGCGAGGAGGCGGCGCGCAGGGGGGGAGCCCTGCAGGAGAGGTCCCGACGGCGCGGCTGCTGCTCGCCGGGGTCGGCTTCCGCTGGGGTCGGCTTTCGCCGGGGCTGCGGCTGGCTTTCGCTGGGGTGAAGTCGGGCCTGTCCCTCCACAGGGGGGATATTCAAAAGAAGTCGAAAAATAGGCAGGGGACGATTTCTCGACGACTTTTGAGCATTTTTGAATACTTTGGGTGTGTTTTTGATTCTATAGGCTTACGCCACATCCGCCGACCCCTATATAAACTATTGCCCCTCCAGGACTGCATTTCACGAGGCTTGTCCGAATCATGACACGACGCTCGACATCTTCCTGTTGCTTCGTTGCTGTTATCGTACCTCCTGGTGCTCTTTCGTGGCCTTTTGGTGGCATCTTGGCCTGTCTGCAGGCCATGTCCGGCCGCCTCGAGGCACCTTGGGCCAAGTTTTGGGGCCTCTTGGGGGCTTCCTGGGGGCTTCTCTCTTGGGGGTCCCTCAGGGCCTCTTGGGGTGTTCTTGGGGCAGGCTGGGGGCGTCTTGGGGCCGAAGCCTCGAAAAGGTGCCCTCTGGACTCCCTCTTGGAGCCGTCTGGGGACCCTCTTGGGCTGTCTTGGGGGCTTCGTGGGCTGTTTTTGGACCTTCTTCGGCCCCTCTTAGGGGCCCCTTCGGTCGTCCGGGGGCGATGGTGAAGGTTTCTTTGCCCGTCTTGGACGCTATCAAAGCCGAAAAGGCGAGTATGCGAAAAATGCTATTTCTTCCCAGGGGATGAGACGACTTTTGTTTCTTGGGGCCCTCTTTGGACGCATCTTGGGGGCCTTTTGGGGCGTCTAGGCAGCTTTGGAGGACGTCTTCTTGGCCCGTTTTGGAGCCCTCCGCTCCCCCATGACGCGTGCGGTCCAGGGTCGGGCTGGGCCAGGAGGGGGGGGTCAAGTTGCCAGTTTGGGGTCATTACGGGGGGGGGATCATCTCACACGCCTAGAGACCCACAAAGGGTCGGCGGATTTGTCACCCACAATCCGCCTGTAGGTGGACATGCCCGACCTAAGGCTCTCGCAGGGGTCGGCTCTCGCCGGGGTCGGCTTTCGCCTGGGTCGGCTTTCGCCGGGGTCGGCTTTCGCCGGGGTCGGCTTTAGCCAGGGTGGGCTTTCGCCGTTTCCCCGTTCCCTCGTGGCCGTCGCCACGAGGGCAAGGCGTCCCGAGGGGCACGGGCCTCGAAAGCTCGAAGGAGGAAAACAGGCACAAGCTTTCGGAGCTCCGCGCGAATTCCTTGGATCGGCGCCTGGGCATCCCCCTGGCGGCGCCTCCAGCGCCGCCCCTGGCGTGCTCCGCGATCCAGGGAGGGTGTCCCAGTCCGCGCGGAGCGCCGACAGATGATGCCTGTGCATGTTTGTTTGATCGTCCAGGAGAGGCGTCTTGAGGGCCGCGGGCCCCCAACGCGAATTTTGGCCCATGGCCCATGGCACTTTGGACAAGTCGGGCCTGTCCCTCTACAGGAGGTATATGCAAAACTTGTCCAAAAGTGATATGGGGTCGATTTTTTGACTATGTTTGGTCATTCGGGGTGTTTATTTTTTCCTTTCAGTATTTCTAATTTTTCGCCCGAAATCCCCCCCGAAGGGGGACAGGCCAGACCTAACACTTCGTGTTCTGCGCCAGGTAATTCGTCGTCTCTTGGCCCAGCACGGCTGTGCGGGGCGCCTCTTCTCGGGCAAGTGAAGAGGTTGCCGTTCGTGGCGCCTCTTGGCTGTGGCGGTGTTGCATTGCCGCGCTCTTTCGAGCCTGTCGTCATTGGTGGCACGCCGAACTGTGTCTTCGTTGCGGGCCTTGATCTCATGAGCTCGCGGTCGGCCAGGCTGCTTGGCTTCCGTCTCCGAGGTGGGTTTTCCGAAGCTTTTTTTGCAGAGAGCAGCCTCGCCCAGCTCTCCATACAGCTTGACCACGCTCCGTCTAGTTACGCTTAAGTCGGGCAGGTCCCTCGTGTTCAAACATGGTGAACAATAGTCTGGGGACTACGTTTCGATTATCATTATCTTTTATGTGTAGTATGTTTGAGTCTATTTCTGGTGTGTGTGTGTATATATATATATATATATATATTATGTGTTTCTTCCAGCGTCTGCCTGTAGGAGCGCATGCCCGACCTAAGGCTACACGAGCGCTGCTGTGCACGTCCAAGACGTCACAGACACGGCATCGGTCGTTGCCTCGTTGCCAGCTGCGCTGCCGCGCGAAGCCGCCACCGCGCTCGGGCGCGGGCGCCTGGGGGAGGGCAGGTGGCGGCTTGAGGAGAAGGAGGAGGGGGAGGAGGAGGAGGAGGAGAGGAGGAGGAGAGGAGGAGGAGGAGGAGGAAGGAGAGGAGGAGGCGGAGGAGGTGGGGAGGAGGAGGAGGAGGAGGGGGAGGAGGAGGAGGAGGGGGAGGAGGAGGAGGAAGGAGGAGGAGGGGAGGAAAGGAGGAGGAGGAGGTAGGAGGAGGAGGAGGGAGGAGGAGGAGGAGGAGGGCTGGCGGCGTCCAGGGGGTGTGGCGCAGGTGCCACGGAAGTTCCTGCCCAGACCTTCGCGTTTGGGACCGTTTTACGTCTGGGCGGCAAGGAGCGGCGCAAAACATTTGCCCAACCAGACGAGCGCACGTTGTGCTCGACGCGTCGGGACCCCCTGCTTCGCAACGCGTGGAGCTAGCAACGGCACGGACCATACACACGCTAACCTTTGGAAACGCGGTGGCGGACATATGAGCATTACCAGGAAGACGAATTGACACATTCCTCTGGCTTCGCGGGGTGCACGTCTGGACCACGTACAGTCCAGTCGTTGTGGGGACTCCTGGAAGCCTCCAGGGGGTCTCTTGGAGGCGTCTCGGGGGCCTCTTGCGGCCTCCTGTGGGCCTATGTGGGGCCTTTCGTGGGCGTCGTGGGCCGTCTTGGGGCGCTCTTGTGCGGTCTGGCTCCTTCGGAGTCTGCCTTGGGGGCCTCTTTGGGCCGCCTTGGTGCGCTCTCGGAGTCGTCTTGGGCCGTCTAGAGGGTCTCTTGGACCGCCTTTATAGCCTCTTTGAGCCTTCTTGGGTTGCTTTCTGGTCGTATTGGGGCCCGCTTGGGCCGTATAGGGAGCCATCTTGGAGGCTGCTCGGGCCGTCCTGAGCCCCCGAGAGTCCAGAATTTCGAAAACGCAGATTTTTCAAATACGTACTGAACCACATGTTTGTTTGAATCGGCAGGCGCTCTTGAGAGTTCCCTTTGGGCCTCTTGGGGCAGCCATCTTGGGGGCGGCCCTCTTGGGGCCATCTTGGGGCCGTCTTGAGCTGTCTTGAAGCCGTCTTGATCCGTCTTAAGGCCCTCGTGGACCCCAGGAAGGCGCCCAAGAGGCAGGTAGCCCGAGAGGCCCAAACTAATGATTTTACTCGGATCTTGAAGCGTTCTAAAATGATATCGTAAGGTGAACTGATTGTGTCGGCGGCTTGGCGGGGGGGCCAGGGGCGACAAAGGGGGCTTGCTTTGCAAGCGATAATGTGACAAACTAGTGTGGCAACGTATGGCAAGCTGGCTTCTCTGATGCATCGTGGCTTGGCCCTTGCCTCACACGCCCGAGACGTTTACCTTCCTCCTCCTCCTCCTCCTTCTCCCCCATCCCTCCTCCCTCCTCCTCCTCTTCCTTCTCCTCCTCCTCCTCCTCCTCCTCCTCCTCCTCCTCCTCCTCCTCCCTCCTCCTCCTCCTCCCCCCTCCTCCTCCTCCTCCTCCTCCTCTTCCTCCTCCTCCTCCTCCTTCTCACCCTTCTCCTCCTCCTCCTCCTCCTCCTCCTCCTCCTTCCCCTCCTCCTCCTCCTCTTCCTCCTCCTCCTCCTCCTCACCCTCCTCCTCCAGATGGTCCCCAAGACCCCCCACAGGGCGCCAAAGAGCCCCAGGGGACCCACGACAGGGGCCTGAGAGGCCGCCCCCGGGGCCCCCTGAGAGGCCCCGGCAGCAGACGCGGAGGGCTGTCGGGGCGAGGGCTATCGGGCCCCTCTCGGCAATCCAGGGGCGATGGGATGTCGATGCATCCCCCCCCCCCCCTGAGGGCGATCTCGTCCACCTGCCGAAGAGTGCGCTGCGGAGGGGGAGGGAGGGGAGGAGGAGGAGGAGGAGGAGGAGGAGGAGGGAGGGAGGAGGAGGGAGGAGGAGGAGGAGGAGGGGAGAGGAGGAGGAGGAGGAGGAGGAGGAGGAGGAGGAGGAGGAGGAGGAGGAGGAGGATGACCCCCTCCCCCTCAGAAGGAGGAAGAGGGTGGGTTCACTTCGCTCGGGAGCTCCCGAACGTAGTGAACCCCATCCTCCCCTTCAGGTTCGCGTGTGGCCCCCATGCTCTTTGGGCTGGTCCTGGGAGTTTTCTCTGGTCGTCTGGGTGTCCAGAAGCCCGCAAGGCGAGAACGCGAAACATATGTGTTAACCACATGAAGCATCAATTCTGTCTACTTCTCGAGGCCTTCGAGGAGTCTTCGTGATAGGGCCCTGGTGGGGCGTCTTGGCCGCCTGCAGTCCATCCTGGAGCTTTTTGAGGCCCCTCCGGCATGTCGGAGCTTTCCCGGGGCCATCTTCGAAAGCACCTTGCCTTGGGCATCTTGGCGGCCACGGAGGGTGGATTTGGAGGCTCCGAGGGTCCCAGAGGTGGGTTGGCAAGCTTGTCGTCCCCCCCAACCTCCAGGCCCCACCCCCTCCGACAGGACTTTGGGCCCGCGGGGAGGGACAAAGGGAGAGGGGGACAGCCAAATGTCTCACGCGCCGTTTCGCCCCTGCCAAGCGGAAGCTGACGAATTTTCCCTCATGCAGAGGTCATCGCGTTGCCGTTCCCTCCCCCTCTTTCTCGACTGATGGGCCTGTTTTCCACCACCACCACCACCACCACCACCACCACCATAAGTTGGAGGGGGGAAGGAGGAGGACGAGGAGGAGGATGAGGAGCAGGAGGACGAAAAAGAGGAGGAGGAGGAGGTGGAGGAGGAGGAAGAGGAGGAGGGAGGGGGGAGGAGGAGGAGGAGGGAGGAGGGAGGAGGGAGGAGGATGAGGGAGGAGGAGAAGGAGGAGGAGGAGGAGGAGGAGGAGGAGGAGGAGGAGGAGGAGGAGGACAAGGAGGAGGAGGGGGACCCCCTCCCCCTCCAACAGGAAAACAGGACAGGCCCACCAGCAATCATGGGCTCCGCTTCTCCCGCCCCCGTGCGCGGGCCACTCTGGGTTCGAGCTCAGCACGTCCCGTGGCGACGAGCGCCCGGGCCCCCCCTCCGCGAAGCTCGCTTCTTCTGTCCTCGTCGTTCCCGAGAGCATTCTCTGCGAGGACCTTTGGCCTGCCGCCCCGCACGGAGAAAGCTGCGTCGCTCAAGGCGCCTGAGCCGCCAGCGGCCCTGGAGGCACTGTCCCAGGCCAGCCCGTCTGGGAACCTCAGCGGTCCGTCAGCACCTTCCTGGTATTGGTGCCCCGAAGCGCAGACGGGCCAGCCACGTGCCTGCGAGAAGTTGTGTCTGCTCCTTCTCGGGAAGGAGTCGGTTCGCTACTCCCTCCTTTGTTCTTATTTCACCTGCTCTCGCTCTCGTCCTCCTACGGTTACCAGCTCTGGCAGTTCCCACACTTCTTCTAGGCACTCGGGTCGATCCCGGTGATTTGCGCATTGTCTTCGCATTTGACATCGTGATCTACTCGCTCCTTTTGCGAGCGCGATTATTGGACATGACGTTTTGTTTGCACAGCCGTCCCGTACTGTCACTGACGAAATTCTTCTCCCTCTCCTCCTCTTGATGCGGGTCCTGGAATGTCGAATGGAGCATCGGCCTTAGTTTATCCTTGGCCAGAATCTGGCCCCAGCTCGCCCTACGCATTGTTTGGGATATTTTTATTTTTTCCTCCAAAATCCGCCTGTAGGAGGACATGCCCGACCTAAGGCTGGTTCCGTAGTTACCGTTCCGTATTCATTCTGGCCGTAGGGTGGTTGTGTTCGAGAGAGGTTTACGACAATGCGCCGACTCCCAGAGGAGGCTACGCGCGGCTTCCGCTTCCCTGTCTTGTTTTTACCGCTTCCCGTCGTGCTGCCCCCGCTTCGGATGCAACTCCTGGGAGGTCAAATTCTGTTTTTGCCCTGGTCCTGAATCCGGCTTAATCTGGCTTAATCTGGCTTAATCCCGCTTGATCTGGCTTAACCCCGCTTAATCCCGCTTAATCCGGCTTCATCCGAGGCACATTCCGGCATAACAGCCCCCCAATGGGGCTTATCCTTTTTCCCTACCTAGGCTCTGCCTAGAAGGGTTCTTACCGTGTATGCTTAAAGGGCCGGGAGTGGTCCTCGCCCCGGGCGGTTCCCCCAGTATCCGCCCCGCGGTTCCCCCAGTGACGGCCCCTTAGCTTAGCGTTGCTTATCTCATCTTAGCTTAGCTTATTTCATCTTAGCTTAGCTTAATTCCCTACCTAGGCTCTGCCTAGAGGGTTCTTACTTTGTAGGGCCGGGCAGTGTAGGCCGCCCCGGGCGGTTCCCCCAGTCCCCTGGGAGCGGTTCCGCCAGTCCCCTTGGAGCTTTAGCTTTAGCTCAGCTTTAGCTTTAGCTTTAGCTTTAGCTTTAGCTTTAACTTTAGCTTAGCTTTAGCTTAGCTTTACCTTTAGCTTAGCTTTAGCTTAGCTTCAGCCAGCTTTAGCTTAGCTTTAGCTTAGATTTAGCTTAGCTTTAGCTTAACTTTAGCTTAGCTTTAGCGTAACCTTAGCTTTACCTCAGCTTTGCCTTAGCTTTAGCTTAGCTTCAGCTTAGCTTCACCTTAGCTTTATCATAGCTTTAGTTTAGCTTTAGCTTAGCTTTAGCTTAGCTTTAGCTTAGCTTCACTGTTACTACTAATGCTGCTTTCCTAGGGGCTCCAACTCCTAGGTAGGGTCGCCCTGGGATAATTCATCTTCTCGACGAGAACCTCCCAGTAGTTGCCTCCTAACCCCGCGGGCCTCCGAGTGTTTACGTTTGCGCCATT